AAAATGTTGGCTCTGCCAAAGCCACCATAAAAAAAAAAAGACCAGGTGATGATGGGAAGAAAATATCTATAAATCACATATCTGGTAAAGGAGTTATATCATATATATGAATATATATATATATATTCATATATATATATATATATATATACACATTCAAGACTGAAACTCAACAATAAGGAAACAATCACATTAAAAGATGGGCAAAGAACTTGAACAGACACTTCACCAAAGAGGTTATGACAAATAAACACATGAAAATTTTTTTTATCAAAACTAGCTATCAGACAAATGCAAATTAACACCACAATGAGAAATTACTACATATTTATTAGACCAGCTGATGTAAAAAATAGTAATAATACCAAATACTGGCGAAGATGCTAAGAAACTGATTAGAGGGGTCAGGTGATGACAGTGTGAGCTCCTTTATCAAGCTTCCATCAGTTTTACATCTAATATTTCACCCACTGATGATCACTGCTTGATCTTTTACTTTATTAGCAGTTATAAAATTGTCATTTTCTATGTTTATTTCTATATTTTGACAGTTAATAATTGAATTTCTTGTGAAAGTAACTTGCTGTCATCAAACATGGGCTATTTGGCTGAGCTGAAATAGTTTGTACATGAAAAAACAGAAAATACTGAGTTCTTTTCTTTTAATTGCTAATTGTCAGAATAAGGTGTTAGTCTTACTTCAAATAGTACCCACTATTATCTGGGATTGGGGGAGGGGGATCTTTCTCTATTCCCCTCTTTCAGTATTCTTTATGAATTCAGGATTTTTTTCTATATCCAATGTGTTTCAATCAATTACTTGTAGTTACTATTATTTTTCAATGCTCTATGTACTTTGGACATTATCCCATTGGTCTGACTGTTTTCTTGCTCACAGACTCAACAATAAAACACAATCTCATCTTATTTATTTCCTCTCTCAACTCCGGAATTAACTATTCCCCCCTAAGAGCCCCAATACTTTTTATGTAGAATAGTATTTCGAGCCCTTTTGTGCATCATTTTGTATTGTTTATTACAGACTAATTTAAAAGGAAAAATTTGTACTCTCAATGTTGACTTAAATTGTTTTATTATAACGTTATTTAAACATAAACAAGAGTAGAGCTACGTATAAATAAGTGCCTTAGACTTACAGTGCTTATCAATTATAAAACCAAAACAATAAACAACAAAACTAATAAATTAACAGGATTAATTTAATGTTGTGCATTATATTGTTTTGCTGAAACTAAATTACAGTTCACAACATGAATGTGACTCCACAATGGCACATTGAGTGCAGCTTGTCTTATCATACACTGTGGGATGACTCACTTCCCTGGCCAGTTTATTCTAACTACCAAGTAATTGTATTATATACAGTACACCTGGTAGAGGATAATATAATTTACATACAAAGTCTGACTCCTTAATTTCAATTTAACCCAAAACAATTAAAGTTGTACTATCTGGTGTCAGTGTGCTTGTAAATACAAATACAAACGTAAGTGTTGATAATGTATGGTAGTGTTCAGTTATAGGGTAGTCTGATGGCCCAGAATGTGCTTATGTCAATTTATTTTAGATTATTTCCTTGGAAGATGGTCAGGTTACTATTAAAGTAAGAAGGCTAAGAGTTTTCATAGAGAAGCTTGAGGTTAAAGGAAATATATATCATAACAAACTTTGACTCCAGAAACAGATGACAAGAGGGCAATATGTGGTTTCTAAATGTACATAACAAAATACTATTAGTTAGCAAGGATTACCGAAGTGAGTAGAGGGAAATGAAGTGAGCAAGCTACAAAACAAAGCAAGATACAAATTACAAAGAGTTTATGGCGTCTAATTAATATTATTGGCCTTAGGGTTAATATTAAACTACAAAAACGCTGAAGGAGATTTAAAAAACCAACTACTTAAAATAATAGCACAAACAACCATCCTTAATGTAGCATTCAATGCACTCCTTTGAATCAATATCTACTAAATATCTACGAATTATCTAAACAACATATGTTGGATTATCTTCCACATTATTGCCCAACTGGGATTCCCATAAGCCTCCTTCTGTCCTTGCCTGGGTATCAACCTAGACTTCTAATGGGAATTGACAGCAATGTTTAAGCAGAGGAGTGAGATAATCAATTTTGTTTGTTTTGTTATGTAAATGATTTCTGTGGTAGTGTAGACATTACACTAGAAAAGATACCAACTGGAGTAAAGGGAGACTTGAAGGAAAAATGAATCCGGAAGTTTTTGCACAGTCCCATTTATTGAGGGCTTCAGCTGAAGTGAAATTGTAGTGGGGAGGCTTGATTTGAGATAGTTTTATGATTTGGTGATTTCTGATTTCAGGATCTGATGAACAAGTGGACACAGAGAAACTAATTAGGAAGGTGTTGCAACAATCCAAGTAAGAAGGGATGTGAACCTGAACAAGGTAATGACATTAGGAATGGGGGGAAAAAAGGATGACTTTCACAGATATTAAGGAAGTAGAATTCTAAAGACACTTTGATGGACCAGATGTTTGGAGAAAGAGAGAGGAGCAAAGATGATCTTCAGGTTTTAAAAACTTCCTACTACAGTGTTCCATTCACAAAGGTTATTAATGTAAAAACTCTCCATTTTTCTTAGCTTTCTTCCATCAATGTCCTATGGAATTGTCACTGGTAGGAAAACTTTCAAGTAGGACTTGCCAGAGTATCCAACATAGAAACACATCATGTATAGGAATACACTCATAAAAATACCTTTCTTCATCTAGGAGGAAAAGTAAAAGTGTAAATATTTAACACTTATAGGAGTTGGCAAAGTACAGATCACAGGCTAAATCTGGATAGCTATCTGTTTTTCTTAAACTCGTTTATACTTTATTTTATTTTTGCCTTTTTTAATGGCCTGCAACTAAGAAGGGTTTTTACATTTTTAAATAGTTGAAAAATCTTCCAAGAAGAATTTTTTATGACATGCTAAAATGACATAAAATTTAAATGTCAGTGTCCCTAAATAAAGTTCTACTGGAACACAGCCTATTCATTTGTGTACATAACGTTTACGGCTGCTTTTGTACTATAATTGTGGATTTGAATAGTTGTGACATAGACACTATGGCCCTCAAAGCCTAAAATATTTACTACCTGACCCTGCATAGAGAAAGCTTGAGGATACCTGGTCTACTATGAGCCAGGTACTGGGCTAGGGCTTTCACATCATGTCTCTATCTTTTTTAAAACTTTCAGTGGTGTATTAGGTTCAGAGACCTGAAGAAATTGCCTAGCTAACTGAGAACAATAACATGTTTTATTTGTAAAATACTCACATTATTTAGGCAAAGATAGTGAGTTACCGTTTTTATTTTTAAAGGGTCCTATTTTATCCCTGCTTAAACACCGCTATTTATTTCAAATGCTCATAGTACTAAAGCTAAATTTTCAGAATACAGTATAAGGCTCTGCAAACCCAAACTTTTACTCACATCTCATCACTTTTTTCCTCACCAGTCACTACTGAATTTCTCACTGTTCTCCCATTTTGTGCAGCTACAAGTTCAACGTGAGAGATTTAGGAGCTATTTTAGTATTCCCTTCATTTAGGTCCCTTGTCCACCTTTCCCTTCTATGCCTTTCTTCACTCTATCTTCAACCCATTGTCTACCGTTGCTGAATAGAAAAGGAAGGGAGGGAGGGAGGAATGAAAACCTCAAAACACACATCGGTTACTGGGGAGAGGCATACCTCGTCACTCTGGTCAGCCTAATTGGCCAAATCCTCCTCGAGGGTGGGGGCGATTTTTGTTTTTTTTTAAACGTAGTCCAACAGCTATTGGAGGCTCAGTGAGTAGCCAGCCATTCAGTCACCGATCCACAATCCCCCCACCCCCTTTACCCTTTTCATTCCCTTGGGAAACCTGGAAACCAGAAAATCTTCCCAAGGAAACTCCTCGGGGGCTCGCCCAGATCCAGGCTTGCGGACTCGGATTCGCCTGGCGCTGCAGCCCCCACAGCCGATTGGCGGGGTCTCTAAGCCCCAAACCCAGCGAGAGCTTCCCGGGCTCCCGCGCCTGCGCAGGCTCCCCCTCCGGCCCCTCGCCCTGCAGCAGCGGCAGCGTGACGTAATGCAACCTCAGCAGCCGGCAGCGATATAAAGGAGGACAAGGCCGCGCGCCTCCCAGACGCAGAGTAGCTTGTGATTGGCTCCGGCTGCAGAACCTCGGAAACCCGAATGTGAGGACCTTCCTGATCCACAGCTGCCGCCCCCCCCCCCCCCCCGTCCTTTCCCCCCAGAAATCCGGAGCGCGGTCAGAATTTTACTGGCGGCGGCGGCATCTGCAGGTAAGGAGACTCCTGAGGAGAAAATAGAGGGATTGGGGGCCCCTGCGCTCAGTGTCGCTCCTGTGAGGGGAGGAGAGCTTGCACGGCTTGTACTGTAGGGCGAAGGGAACAATGGAAGTGGCGTCTAGTCCCTAAATTGCCCTCCCCCTCGAGCGCCCAGCTCTTCTCCTCAGCCTTGGCGGTGGCTGGAGGAATTGAGGGAAGTGTCTCCTCCTCAGCGGACCTTTTCTTTCCGTAGGGCCAGAGCCCCTGGGGGCAAGAGCCCTCCTGAAAGCCGTGGGTGGTTTTGGGTGACGGGAAAATGGCGGAAAACAAAACGGTGAAGTGAAGAATGCGACGTCCCCCCGGCATTTTATCCTGCTACCTTCCCCCTTCCCCAAAATTCCTTTCACTCGCGCCCCCACCCACATCTCCCCCGCCCCCCGCCCGCCGCGAATGGTAACCTTGGAATTCGCGAGGGATGGCGGCGTTTGCAAGGAGGTGGGACCGAATCGGGCATTTTAGGGCTATAGGGAGCCGTCAGAGCCGGGAAGGGGGGGAGGGGGGTGTGCTGCAAGTGTAGCCTCTGCTAACACACCACCATTTTGGTTCTCAGCCTTCTCCCATGTAGTGGGGCCGAGGGAGCGGGAGGAGGGTGAGGGGGTGGGTTGCACGGCGTGGGGAGCGTAGCGGCGGTGGAGACCACTGCACCGACTGAAAGGAGGGTGGAGGGGAAAGGGTCTTCTGGTCTCTTCGTTCTCCGCCTTTCCGTGGCGAAGGTGCTCTGGTTCGGTTAAGGATCCAGCCCGATGGGTAATGTATGAGGGCACGTGTGTGCGTTCTGCTCGAAACGATTGAAACTTGGCATGGTCTCGGCAAAGGCAGACTTATGCGGGAAGACGATTGTGTCCAAAGCTGCAATACTGCTACTTGCCAGGGCTCCTTTGTCTCATATCGCTGCAAATACTACTTTCACATTCTCTTGTTTTGCCGTCTTAGGATTTCTCTCCCATGCCTTACCGAATTTACATCACGGAGAAGCTAGGTCCTGAATGAGCTATGTTTAGAGGAGATTGCTGAGAGTAACATTGGTGTGTGTATGTGATTTCTGCTCCCCCTACGTTGCTGGAAAGATGTTTACTTAAAGCGTACTTGGTGGTTACCTCCATTCAGTAAAGATGGGAGCGAGATAGATTCTTGGGAAGACTCAGAAGCCTAGGGATTTATTGGCTGTTCTCCTACCTTATTTATTATTGATCTTATTGAAACTTCCTACATGGGAATAAATGTGCTCAAATTTATTTGGTATTCATACAGCCTGGCACTTCCCATAATAGTTGCATTAGGTGTTCAGATTTTTACATTTCACTGAGCGCTAGTGCATCTTTTTCTCTATAGATCTGGCAAGGATAAAGCTTGCCCTTGGTTGGTTCTCTTTCGCTTTCCAAAATATGGAGTTGCTAGTGATTTTTAAAATGTGCTTTAGAGAAGATTTTGTTTTAATCAGGTGGTCGAATTCTAAGTGTAATAATGTTGCTTATATCATAGTGGATGGATAGTCGTTTCTGTTGGAATCCCTGTTTGCTTTTTATATTAATAGATGGTTGCTTTTTATATTAATAGATTTGAGCATATCAGCCCAAATTGAAAGTGTAAAGAAAAATTCTTAGTTGTGTAAGAGTTTTGGTTTAAAATGTTTTAAAATATCTAATTCTAAATGTATTTTTACAATAGGTAAAGGAAACTTTTTCCCCCAAAGAAAATAATATAGTTCAGAAGGAAAAAAAAAAAGAAATTGCTGCAGATTTTATTTTACAGTGTAAGAAAAATCTACAGTTTCTTCAAGACTCTATATTAAGGTGATTAACAAATTATAGTGTTCTGTCTTATTTAATAACTAAACAAAATTTAAGTGTTTAAAACATTTTAAAGACATTTATAATTGTTCTATTAGTAATAAATAAAACAACTGCTCTAATTAAAGTTGAAATAGTACAATGTTTTTAATTTTAAGAATAAGTCCTCATGGTATTTTAACTTACCTCTGAACACACAGTTTATTGTGATTGCTCTTGACTTCATTTTGAAGGCAGAAAACAATGTGGTATTTTTAAAAAGATAAAATACAGCCAAGAATTTCTAAAACTTTGTAATTTTGCTCACACATAACCAAATAATTTTATCTAAAATATTTGATATGTTGTAGGATTTTCATATACATGACTCAAATGTTGATAGAAGTTACTCTGTGAGACTATCCTACATCTATAGAACTTTAAGACAAGGAAAAAAATATTAGTGATCTCCTGTACTTAAGGATAAAGTTAGTTTACATGGCAGCTTTCTAAAATGTTTATTAATGATATAATCTCATCTTTTGTGCAGTATAGTACTATTTATTAAACACTCCTATCTAAAAAGGAGATAATTGTTACATAAAATTTACAGATTTTTTGGTATATTTACTTAGAATCTTAGGTTTGATGAGGAAATACACATAAGTAGTTATAAAAAATGTTGAGTGACAGCACGACTTTAGGTTTCATACATATCTAGTGATCTTAAATAAGTCATTTGAAATGAAATATATTGATCCCTTGCTTTCAAAATTAATATGAGGCTAAAATGACTTTAGTAATCATTAATGGAAAAAAAATCCAACAATTGCAAGTAAACTATATATTCTGTAAGAGACAATTTGCTAAAATGTTTGTATGTGATTGATCTTATCTTTACCATATTTAGGAAGCAGTCATGTTTCATGAGTCCTCAAAACTGTGAGACAAGAGAATGTAGTAGAGTGAGCTCAGAAGTCCTTACTGACCCAAAGAACTCCCGGGAAACTGGGATAGAACATTTTACATTATAAGTAAAACCCCTGGAGCCAGAGGTGAAACACGTTTATCTGCAGAGCTCCGCTGCAGGGCTGATCTGGGTCTGGAAGAAATGGATGAGAGCCACTGGATGAAATTCATTAATACTAGACACCTGAGTCCTCTAGTAATGTATAAATATCCCAACTATTGTCTGTTGTCATCCTGTTCTTTTTCTTCTGCTTTTATAACCTATATTTTAACTGGAACTTCCAACACTACAGTGTTGTTCTTTTGCTTGCTTCTTTCACTTCTCTATGGCTCACCACACTTACTGTGTCTCATTCTCCATTATCTTTGGTTTACTTCCACTTGGCCCTTCTATAATTTATGGTTGTCACATAAAGCATCTAATCAAGGTTTTTGTTTTGTTTTCTTTTGTAATGAAATATGCACACCTGGTTGAGAGACATGTTTTCAATTGCAATTTTTTTTTCTCAAAACAATTGACTGGCCTACATGCTTTTAAACTTAAAAACCATTTCTTTTACAGAGATTTGTGAATGAACTTTGCTAAGTATGGATTCAGGTGGAGGAGGCAGTCTTGGATTGTACACATCAGACTCTAGAATGGCCCATACCATGATTATGCAAGATTTTGGTAAAGCATTTTCTTTGTTGTACTTTTTCTTTCTTTTTTAAGAGTCAGAACAAACGAAATATCAAAACTGCATTGCAGAAGGGGAGAGTTACAATAAAATATTGTTCTCTTGCTAGGAAAACACATTTGTAAGACTTATTAAAGTATAGCTATATGTCTATTGTCTACTTAAAACCATTCTTAAAATTTTGTGGGAAAGTTGAGGTAAGGATACTTGGAACATAGTGGTAATATGCCATTGGAAATGTAAAACTCAATTTGCATAAATAACTATCAGTTCTTACATGTAGGAAATATTAAGTTAGATTTCTAAAATATATTTTAATTTGAATTGTTAATAAAGCTGGACAAGGAAATACTTCAGTCATTTTAAAGAAGTTGGATGCTTATAAAGTGATATAGGAAAATTGTGCACTAGGTGATCAATTGTATTCTGATACTGTTTTCTCAGAAAGTTGTTATTAATAGCATTACATTTTTTAAAATAAAATATTCTTTATTTTTGTGAACATTTTTCAGTAGTCTCTTAAGTGTAGTCATTTTGATGAAAATGTGAAGACTCCATTGAGAGTCCACAAAGAAACTGAATTTGGGTAAGGTCAATATGAATTATAGAAGATAAGGTATCTGAAGTATAAGAGTAGTAGAAGTTGAAGAAAAGATCACAGTGAGAGTATGAGTGTAAAAAAGACAAATGGTAAATTGGGATAAAAAGTAAACAAAACATGAGATATTATGGAATTGTCAAAGATGAAATTAGATAATATGGTTGAATTCTTTATTTTGTTCCATTGTAAAGCCAAGGCCCCCCCCCCAAAAAAAATGAATTCCAGTCTTGCCAGTCCTATTAACTATCTGTGTAAACTTGGGCAAATTACTTAATTCACTTGTATGAAGGGGTTGGACAAGATAACATTTAAGGTATTCTCCAATTCTTTGATTCCTTGATATTTCTGCCTGATGACTAAAGGTACAGTGTGTAGTTCAAGAACAAATGTGTTGGAGATCAAGATGACTGTGTAGTTAATTGATGAAATAGAAAGAAATCATGGATTTATCCTAAGAGTCAGAATGAATTGTGTTGATTATGAACAACTTAGAAGTGATTTGGGGTGAAAAAAGTATAGGAATACATTTTAGAGGTAGGGCAAAGGGCTGAAGAGTAAGATTTCACAAATAATTTTGTGAATTCTTTGCTAGAGATAGTTTTTAAAATACTGGAACGTGAACTTCAATATGTTAAATACGTTTTGGTTGAAATGCCAACTTTAATTTGTTACCTTTTAATAATAGGTATTTTTAAAATGGGAAGAAATACAGCATTTTCTCTATTTAATACAAAATGTTACCTGCAATGTAGCATTTCCCTTCCAAGATTGAAAAAAATATCTGATCAGTGCTGATAAATATTTGGTGTTCCTCTTAACTTCCTTTTCATTGTTCCTCCTCAATGTTATTTTTTGATGGTAAATTAATCCTTTATTACATCTAATACTTTATTTCCTTTTAATTGCTAGGGAAGTAGAATATGTGTATTGACATATTTTTATGTACATTTTTTTCTTATTTATTTTTATTGAGATATAATTAATATACTATACAATTCACCCATGTTAAAGAATACAATTCAGTAGTTTTTAGTATAGTTACAAAGTGCAGCTGTCACCATTACCTAATTTCAGAACATTTTGTCATGGTAAAAATAAACCTCATACCTATTAGCAGTTACTTCCTACCCCACCTCCCATCTTCCTGCCTATGGATTTACCTGTTCTGGACATTTTATATAAGTAGAATCATACCATATGTGACCTTTTGTGCCTGGCTTCTTTTCACCTAGCATAATGTTTTCAAGTTTTATCCATATTGTAACATAGATTAATACTTCATTTCTTTTTACTGCTAAATGATACACTACTACATGGGTAAGCTAAATTTGCTTATCCATTCATCAGTTGGCAGACATTTGTCTTGTTAAATATTTTTAATGCATTAGAATGCTTTTGTATTTAACCTAAAGCTTTGCATCTCAGACTAGAGTATGAGTGCCCTTGAGGAATGTGCCAGTGTGTACATGAAACCACAGGATAAACAGCTCATCAAACAGTACCTTTATTTGAATTGGGGAGAAGACACATAGACACAGTTATACTCATGTAAACATGTTATGGGATAGAAAGCAAAATTTTATTCATTATACCCTTACTTTTTATGAGTAATAAAATGGGCAAGTATGAGAACTACTTCCAGATCTTTAATTTAAAGTCCTTTCTAAAATTAATTTAATAGAGTAAATCAACTTACTTATACCATAAAAAAATTAAAGCCACAGTTTTTTGTTATACAGTTGTTCATGATTCAGTTTCCTAGTAGAATTTTGTGATTATTGGTTTTGAAATGATGCATTCTTTTAAAATTCCTTTTTAATTTAATTTTATGCTCTTTTAAATCTAGACAAAAATTGATGGCAACTAAATTGCTTTTACTTTTTTTGTTAAATTATTTTGTTGACTATCTAGTTAGATCAGAAATGGGTAATATGGGTAATGTTCACTCATTTGTGTTTAGCAATGATGTTAACCTAATGTATAAGTTAGGTTTCCATTTGTCCTTAGTAAATTCTGAAATCTTAGAAGATAGAAAGGAAATATATATATATATATAATTTTATTGTCTAAAGTTTTACATATGTCTCCTTTTCCCCCAATTGAACCCCCCCCCCAGCCATTCCTACCTCCGGGCAAGTCCCCACTGCCCCAGTGTCTGTGTCCATTGGTTATGCTAATATGCGGGCATACAAGTCCTTTGGTTGCTCTCTAACCCTCCCTCCCCTACCATTTGTCTCTAGATTGAGTTATTCTTGTTCATCAAATTATGTTGATCATTATGCTAAGTGAAATAAGCCAGTCAGAGAAAGATAAATATCACGTGATCTCATTCATATGTGGGATATAATGATCAACATATTTATATATTTTTTGATCTGCAGTTCTGAGCTCAATTTCATATATGGGTCTTTTCATTTCTTATGTTATTTTAAGAAATGCAAACTGTTCTAAACCTAAAGGGACCTTTATTGGTAGGATTTTTGACAATGGAAATTTTAGCTCTGTTAATTTAGGTTTCTTTCTGAAAACAGCCTCCCCCTCCCTGTGTTTAGTCTTCCCTCCATCCATTAAACTTTCCTAATTCTAAAATTTAATTAAAAATTAGATAAATTCTCTTTAAATTTCTGCAAACATAAAAACTTAGATATTTGCAATCACATAAATTAATGATATTAGTGAAACAGTTTAGCATACACAAATAGAGCTAGCCAAGTAAATACACTATGTGGAACAAAATCTCTAAATTCCATAAGATTCTTGGTTGGAATGGAATGGCTACTATAAATACATAAGTGCTTTTTAATCATATAAGATCAATATTGTTTTATGCTGCAAATCCTATATAATAAAACCCTAATATGCAAATCAACTGGAGCACCGCTCAGCCAGAAGCCAGGCTCATGGCTGGCGAGCACAGTGGCGGTGGCAGGAACCTCTCCCGCCTCCCAGACAGTGCTAAGGAATAGCTAGCCAAGCCGTAAGGAGCAGCAAGCAGGCGGGTGGTAAGGAGTGAGGGGTCCCCGACTGCAAGAGAGATCCTGGACTGCAAAAGGGATGTCCAACTGCCAAATATCCCCCAAGGGGTCCCGAACTGCGAGAGAGCACAGGCTGGGCTGAGAGGACCCCCCCGCCTCCCCAGTGCATGAATTCTTGCACTGAGCCTCTAGTTTTAAATAAGTTTCCCAGTTTGTAGTAGTTGTTTTTTTTTTTATTTTATTTTTATATAAAAGAGTTTAACATTTTTTATTTGGGGAAAAAATAATCTGAAACATGAATGTAATTCAGAAATTAAATTAGTTTTTTAATTACACTAGTTTTTTAAGGATATTTGATATTTACATATTTACAATAAATTATGTAATAACCTTGTCATGTTTCAGTAGAATGGTTGCCCTTGGAATCTGTGCCACTGAATGTAATAGTTTTTTAAGATTTTATTGCTGCAGAAAGTCTATGTTGCTTTGGGACTTAAATAGAAAAACAACCTTAGACAATGGCCCAAGATAGACCTAACAAATACCAAATTTTATGCTACCCCATAGTGAAATTCCAAGTATTCACATTTAAATGAAATAACTTTGGTAAATTGGAAATGCTTAAAGTGATTACTTGTTTCTTACTGTTACCTGGTTATCTAATTTATGTCATACTTTTTAAATGATTTTTTCTTACTGTATATAATTTTGTTACCTAGTGAGATAAATTATTAATGCCCTTTAATGCTGCTTGCTACATGCCTTGAAATGTAAATGATCAATATTTTTACTCTTTCTCAAACTATTCCTTTAGTAATTATTCACTTGGTTAATCCTATAAAATCTTTTAAAAAGTTCTAGGGTAAATAAATTTTCTTCTCTTCTAAAGAGTATAAAAATAAAGTCTAGCCCTCTGGTGTAGCTAAGTGGTTGAGTGTCAACCTATGAATCAGGAGGTCAAGGTTTGATTGCTAGTCAGGGTACATGCCCAGGTTGTGGGCTCAATCCCTGGTAGGGGGAATTCAGGAGGCAACTGATCAGTGTTTCTCATCATTGATGTTTCTGTTTCCTTCTCTCCCTTCCTCTCTGAAATCAATAAAAATATATTTAAAAAAATAAAGTTGAGTCTGGAGTCAAAGAGTTTAATTCCCAGCTTGAGCCTAGGGCAAGCTCATTTAACCACTCCTAACCATAGTTCTTATTTAAAATGGGGATAATAACAACTCACCTTATTATACAGTTGTTCTGAGGCTTAAGTGAGATATAATATATGTAAAAGCATTAGCAAGTTGCTTGGTGCATAGTCAGTGCTCAATAAATATAGCTATTGTATAGGTAAATGTGTGACTGTTTAAAAATTCAAAGGAATCTAACAGATGAGTTGAAGAGGAAAGAGCAAAATTTAATAGAAGTCTTGGATCTTGGTCTGAGTAATCTACCAGTACCCTGTGGAAAACTCATTGATTCTTAGATCTTTGAGATTATCTAGTTCAGGGTAAGAAAGGATATTTGGATACCTTTTGGTTTAGATAGGATTTATTTTGACCTGTTAGTTCCTACTAGAGTAGAGGCTAAGTGAACAGAAAAACACTTACTCCATCTGTTTTAGAATCTTCCCAACCAGGTTAATCTGAACTCAGGCCAGCACTAGCATTATACCATCCTTTCCTAATGTCTATTCTCAAGAACCAAACTAACCTCCAGCAGTGTTCTAAAATAAATGGATTTTCCTATAATTTAAGTTTGAATTGTGAAGAAGTTTTATAAAATAGTAATGTATTGTTTATATACATAGAATTTTCATACTGTTCATTTTGTAGACTTAACATTTACATTTTCCTTGCAAAAAATGATATTGACAGTCTGGTTGAATGCTAAATTTGAAACCTGCCTTCCCTGTCTTCAAAATGGCCACTGGAGTAACAAGTAAAGAGAAAGAACTACTTGTATACACACTCCTTTTGTCTACTAGATTTCAAGATTGAGGCCCTGTTCTTTTAGGGTAATGTGGTGATTTAGGTGACAGTTTGAGAATAGTGAGATGGATACAGAAGAGTTGAAAGGCAGCTTTCCCTTCTCACTTTTATTTATTTTATTTTATTTTTTTATGGGTTAGGGTATTAACAATGTCCATTGGTCTCCTACCAAACTTGTTAACTAACTGCTATAATGAATTGGTTTATAATAGTGAATATAGCAAATAGCACTCTTTCAGGTATCATCATATATAATAAAGAGGTAATATGCAAATTAACCCTCACACCCTTACAAGATGGCTGCCTACGACCAGGCCGGCAGGGGGGTTAGCGAGGGACGACCAAACGACTGAACAAGGAGGCTGCATGGGGCAACCGGGCCTGCAGGGGGGTTAGTGAGGGACAACCAAACGACTGAACAAGCAGGCTGCATGGGGTGACCAGGCCGGCAGGGGGGTTAGTGAGGAACGACAAACGACTGAAGAGCAGGCTGCGTGGGGCGACCAGGCTAGCAGGGGGGGCAGTTGGGGAAGAGCTGGCTGGCAGCGGGGGGCAGTTAGGGGTGACCAGGCTGGCGGGAGGGCAGTTAGGGGCAATCAGGCCAGCACGCAGAGGCAGTGAGGGGCAATCAGGCCAGCGGGTAGGGGAGCAGTTAGGGGCGACCAGGCAGGTGAGCGATTAGGAGCCAGTGGTCCAGGATTGTGAGAACAGTCGGACATCCCCCAAGGGGTCCCGGATTGGAAAAGCCGCAGGCTGGGCTGAGGGGACCCCCCCCCCCCCCGCTTGAATTTTGTTCACTGGGCCTCTAGTCTCTCTCTCTCTCTCTCTCTGTGTGTGTGTGTGTGTGTGTGTGTGTGTGTGTGTATGTATGTATATATATATATATATATATATATATATATATATATATATGCCTAAGCCACTGAACGACCGGTCGCTATGAAGCGCATTGACCACCAGGGGGCAGGCGCTCAGCGCAGAAGCTCCCCCTTGGTGGTCAGTGTGCTCCCACAGTCAGCCTCACGGCTGGCAAGCACACCCAGGATGAGCGGGAGCAGCGCCCGGCCTGGGCTTGGGCTCCTCCCTGGCCATCTGCTGCTTCGCGCACTACTACATCCCCCAGGGGTCCCAGATTGTGACAGGGCACAGGCCAGGCTGAGGGACCCCACCGGTGCACAGATTCGTGCACTGGGGCTCTAGTTACTTTATAGAAAGTGATCATTATATGGAAAAAGGTTTGTACTGGATTCTTACAGATAATTTGTTATAATCTGGTCCACAAACTTTATTAAATTGTTTACTGAGGGAGGCATAATTTAACAGAAATCATGAAGGAAAGTTTCACACTTTCACAAGGGAAGTAGGAGCTGATGGGTGGGTACCATGGTGCCCAAGTTATTTAAACCTTTTTTCCCTACAGATTAATTTAGAATATAATACATTTTGGAGTTCATATGTATAATTTTTGTGTGTGTTAATCCTCACCTGAGGATGTTTTTTCCATTGATTTTTAGACAGAGTGGTAAGGAGAGGGAGAGACAGAGAGAGAAACATTGATGTGAGAGAGGCATATCAATTGGTTGCCTCCCGCACACGCCCTGATGGGCTGGAGATCAAGCCTGTAACTGAGGTACATGCCCTTGACCAGAATCAATCCCAGGACCCTTCAGTCTGCAGGCCGACACTCTCCACTGAGCCAAACCAGTTAGGGCAGGGGTGGGCAAACTTTTTGACTCGAGGGCCACAATGGGTTCTTAAACTGTACCGGAGGGCCGGAACAAAAGCATGGATGGAGTGTTTGTGTGAACTAATATAAATTCAAAGTAAACATCATTACATAAAAGGGTACGGTCTTTTTTTTTTTTTTTGAGTTTTATTCATTTCAAACAGGCCGGATCTGGCCCGCAGGCCGTAGTTTGCCCACGGCTGAGCTAGGGCCATATGTATAATATTTTATCAAAAGAAATCTTTGTGTGAAAATAGTTTGTTGTATCCCCCACAATCAGGTGTCAAAGGAGGCTTCATTTCTTACTAGAGGGCCGGTGAACGAGATTTGTGCACTGGGGAGGGGGCGTCCCTCAGCCCAGTGTGCGCCCTTTCGCAGTCTGGGACCCCTCGCTCCTTACTGCCCACATGCAGCGGAGGCAGGAGAGGCTTCCGCCACCACCGCTGCACTCACCAGCTGTGAGCCTGGTTTCTGGCTGAGCAGTGCTTCCCCTGTGGAAGTGCACTGACCACCAGGGGGCAGCTCCTGTGTTGAGCATCTGCCCCCTGGTGGTTAGTGTGCATGATAGTGACCAGTCATTCTGCAGTTTGGTTGATTTGCATATTACGCTTTTATTATTTAGGATAAGATGAGGAAGTTTAGGAACTTTTATGCTTGTAATACGTACTTTATAATACATTAAGCTTGTCATTTTAAACTCACCTAATTTAACATATGAGCTAGCACTTTTTATGTTTGTTTCCTTTTTACTTTAATTTTAATTTTTAAAAATACTGGTCTCACCAGTAGAAAAATAATACATAGGTTCCCATTTACCCTTTACTCATCTTCCAATGGTGATGCCTTTATAACTAAGTTACCATGAGCTGTTGTCCTATATAATCAAAGGGTAATATGCAAATTGACCAAACAGCAGAATGACCGGTTGCTATGGCGTGCACTGACCACCAGAGGGCAGACGCTCAATGCAGGAGTTGCCCCCTAGTAATCAGTGCACCACTCAGTCACAACCGGGGCTGATGGCTAGCAAGCGCAGCAGCAGTGGCAGGAGCCTCTCCCACCTCCGCAGCAGCACCTTATAAGGATGTCCGACTGCGGCTTTGGCCTGCTCCCCATGGGGCCTAAGACATCAGTCAGACATCCCCCAAGAACTCCCGGACTGCTAAAGGGTGCAGGATGGGCTGAGGGACACCCCCTTCACCAGTGCACGAATGTCATGCACCGGGCCTCTAATAATATCGTAACCAGGAAATTAACACATTGTATGTGGGAAACGTGTTTACACGTTTTACGTATTTATACGTTCTACCAGTGTAGTAGAGCGCAGGACTCGTATTAATTCGTTTTTTATAGACTAGCGGTAGAATGCGGGTAACGTATAAATACGTAAACTAAAGTTATCGTAATTTTACTGAACGTTGCCATTTGCGCAAAAAATTAGCAAAAATGGCCCGCGCCACCTGTTAGCGCGCGATAAAAACTACCTGCAAACAATGTGTTAATATTGGTGCATTGCTGTTAAGTAGAGTACAGACTTAATTCAGTTGTTACCATTTTTTCTATGTACATTTGTGTGTGCGTGTGTATAATTCTATGTAGTTTTAACCCACATATAGATTTGTGTAAACACCACCCCAATGAAGATACAAACTGTTCCATTACCATATATATGCTATGCCAATACATTCACACACACATGCCCACACTTGGCAGCTGCTAATCTATTCTCCAGCTGTGTAGTTTTTTTATTTTGTGAATGCTATAGAAGTTATTCCATTTATACATTATACAGTATTGTAAATTTTGGTAATTTACTCAGCATAATTTTTTGGATATTCATTCAGGTTGTTGAATGTAGCAGTGGTTTGTCCCTTTTTTATTGCTGAGTAGTATTCCATAGTAAGGATGTGCCAGAATTGGTTTAGCAAACCATTCATTGCTGAAGGACATTTGGATTATTTTCAATATTTTGCTACTATGAGTAATAGTTACTATGAGCTGTTATTAATATTTATGTGTAGTTTTTGTATAAACATATGTTTTAATAATTTTGTGGAAAATTCCCTAGAGCCAAGTGTTGGGTTGTATGGTAAGTACATGTTTAGTTTTATAAGAAACCGCCAAACTATTTTCCAGAGTGTCTGCTACATTTTACATTCCCACCAGCAAAATATGAGATATCAACTTTCTCCACATCCTCACTAACCTGTGCTGTTATTTGTTTTTTATTTCAATTGTTCTAATTGGTGTGTAGTGATATATCACTGTGACTATGTTTTACTTGAAAATAAAATACATCATTTTTAAGGTTCTAATTTAGATTTGGCGAACATTGTTTTCACCCCCTTCCTGATTGGTGATGGTTTTTATTACACTCCAATTATCAGTGATTTTTTTTTAATGATAGTTTGGCCAGGACTATTTCTTACTTGAAATATTTTATGTCATCTAACATATTAAGTACAGTTCTTTTAACTAATAATATAACTACTTTTTGAATAATTGTTTATATTATAGTGGCTGGAATGGCTGGTACTGCGCATATCGATGGAGACCATATTGTTGTTTCAGTTCCTGAGGCTGTATTAGTTTCTGATGTTGTCACAGATGATGGGATAACTCTTGATCATGGCCTTGCAGCTGAAGTTGTTCATGGGCCTGATATCATCACTGAGACTGATGTAGTAACAGAAGGTGTAATTGTTCCTGAAGCTGTACTTGAAGCTGATGTCGCTATTGAAGAGGATATAGAGGAAGATGATGGTGATCACATCTTGACTTCTGAGCTAATTACAGAAGCCGTTAGAGTACCTGAGCAGGTTTTTGTGGCTGACATTGTTACTGGTCCTGATGGACACTTAGAACATGTGGTCCAAGATTGTGTTTCAGGAGTTGACTCTCCCACAATGGTATCGGAGGAGGTTCTTGTAACTAATTCAGATTCAGAAACTGTGATTCAAACAGCTGGTGGTGTTCCTGGATCTACAGTTACTATTAAAACTGAAGATGATGATGATGAGGAGGAGGAGGATGTCAAGAGCACTTCTGAAGACTACTTAATGATATCATGTAAGTGGAACATAAAGTTCATAAGTACTTGAGAGATTGATTTAGAACCCGGAAAGTTTTTGTGGGATGAGGGATTTACTCAATAAAAATCATGGGAGTAATTTTTTAAAAAGAAAATTTTCAAAACTATTGTTGACATGCTTTTTTGAATTTGCTCATATTTTTAATTTACTGAATGAATATTCATATCCAAAATAAAATAACATAATTTAGTAATATCTTCGAACAGAAATATAGATTTGGAAAGTACAGCAAGAACATTAACTGATACAGAATTTTAATGGTAAATATATATATTTTAAAATGGGAAATTTATTTTAGGTAGCCATTGCTTTACTTTTAATATGGCAGGTATTGGAGTTGTTCAGTTTTGCTTAGGAATTTAAGCATAATATGTTCAAAAACGTATAATTAGTTTTTATGCAACACTTGAAAAGTAAATTATAAACTCAGATTGTGTTCTACAATTTTCCCTGTGTGTTTTTTCCTGTTTGTGTAAATATGTGTGTTTATTTCAGACTGCTTTACGATGTCCTTAAGACACTCTATCTGGAGGAGGAAGATAGAAATATCTTGTTCTCATTCTAAGGGGTGCGTTTGCCTGAATAGCAACAATAATAAAAATCTAATAAGTTATAGATGGAGCTAGAGATAGAAGTGGGTCTATACATTATAAATTTGAAGGGATCATGCTGGAAGTAGTAAAGCTTAGGTAAAGACTTCACTTTTCCATAGAGGATTTTTGTTCTTTTCTTTATAAAATTACAAAATGGTTGATTGGGAGCTAGAGTATATGTGTGTATGTAAGTATGCATACAGTGATTATTATATGTGTGTATCAGTGAATTTAAAATGAAAAAAATTAGATTACTTTAATTTTAAATATGATTATGAAGTCTAGTGTGTTAACTTTTTTCTCTATATGCAATTTTGAATATTTACATTGTTTTTAAGGGAATGATTCAAGCTACTAAAAGACTGTGTAAATGTTACTATCTCTTTTTAAACTAATGTGGATTACTAAAGCAACTCCGTATTTACATTTAACCTTACATAAAAAAACAACCTACAGTTATGTTTGTATATAATGGTATGGCAAAGTCAGTAGTCTTTCTGTACCAACACAAATTCATTATGCCTTTAAAATGGGTACTTGTCAAATTAAACTCTTTAGTGTTAACATGGTCTAAAATTTAAACATCATATGTAATGTAAATAGTCATCCCTTAACATATCATCTATAATTTGATTCTATAAAAGGGTTTTTTTAAGTTTCTAGAATATTTTAGTTTCTATTATTTATATTATTACTATATTGACAAATGCAGAGAATTTCTGTCCTACTCTAAGTAGGCTGAAAATTATTTTTTTAAAAAAGTATATTGCTTGAATAATATTGGAACTGCAGCAGGGTCATTCTAAGAGGAATTTAAACTAGGGATTAATGAATTCCTTATTCATTAGTAGAGAAACAGCAACATTTAAAAAAATCCCTTTAAAACTTAAGAATTTTTAATTTTGGAAAGCAGGATATACAAATATACAAAATGAAGTTTTTTATATCACCCATTTTCCCACGACCCAGGTCCTAGACTATATTTTATAAAGGTTAAAATATTCAAATAAGACTAGGTACTCTTTCTTTCCATTTTCATATGTTTTATTTTATTATTATTTTTATATAGCTTTTCTTTTTATCCATCTCTTAATATTTACTTCATTTTGTTTACCTCTTGGTTTCTGTTGGCCATTGAATCTTTTAGGAATTCGAGAATAAATTGCCTTGAAAGGATTCGGTGTTAAATTAACATTAAAGTCCTATTCTTTGTTTATTTTTCCAAGATAGAGATTTTCAAAATATCTAAGAGATAAAGTTGAGAACTTAAAACATACCTTTGTCTTATTTCTGAATCCCTGAATAATCCTATAAGGAAATCTTGTCAGTAACTGAGTTTTAGAGGTAGAGTTTGTCTTCTCTGAATATCTGAGGTGCATCTGAATTTTTTCTACTTTCAGGCCACACTTCACAAATTCTTTATCTTAGATGGTTAGGTTCTTCCACTTGTGCTAAGTAACTTGGATATCATCATCATCATCATAGTTATTATTATTATTTTATGATGGCGAAGATATGAAGGAAAAGGAACCCTAGTACACTGCTGGTGGAAGGCAGACAGGTACAGCTACTATGGAAAACAGTGTGGACTTTACTCAAAAAATTAAAAATGGAACTGCCCTTTGATCCAGTGATCCCACTGCTAGGAATATAGTCTAAGAAGCCTGAAACACCAATCAGAAAGAATATATGTACTCCTGTGTTTATAGCAGTGTTATTTACGATAGCTAAGATCTGGAAACAGCCCAAGTGCCCAACAGTAGATGAATTAATTTAAGAACTATGGTATATTTATGCAATGGTATACTATGCAGCTATAAAAAGGAAGGATCTCTTACCATTTGAGACAGCATAGAGGGACCTGGAGTGTATTATGCTAAGTGACATAAGCCAGTCAGAGAAAGACGAGTATCACATAATGTCATTTATATGTGGACTATAATGAACAAAATAAACTGATGAGCAAAATAGAGCCAGAGACACTGAAGTGCTGGGGTCCAGCCCCAGCAGGCCCAGGGGTCCCCAAAGGTGTGGACGGAGTCGGCGTTCAGTTGATCAGCAGCCTAGCCAGGATCTCTAGCCAAGTTCTGGTCAGGATCTCCAGCGAAGTTCTGGTTAGGATCTCCAGTCAGGTTCTGTGTCCATGTTCTCTTGCTAGGTTCTCCAGCCAGATTCTCCAGGTTCTCCAGCCAGGTTCTGTAGCCATGTTCCCTTGCTAGGTTCTCCAGCCAGGTTCTGTCCAGGTTCTCCAGCCAAGTTCTGTCTCTGGGTTCTAGTCAGGTTCTCTTGCCATGTTCTATCCAGGTTCTGTAGCCAGGTTCTGTCTCTAGGTTCTTCAGCCAGGTTCTGTCTCTAGGTTCTTCAGCCAGGTTCTGTCTCTAGGTTCTGTCTCTAGGGTCTGTGGCCAGTTTCTGTCCAGGATCTTTTGCCATGTTCTCTCCAGCGAAGTTCTTCTGTCTCTAGGTTCTGTGTCTAGGTTCTGTGTCCTATTGTCTTGTTACATCTGTATTTATACCAGTTGATTCCAATCCTATCAATCTCTATTCCAAAGGTTAGGGTGTTTATCTACATTCCAGGGAGTAAAGATTATGTAGCTTAAGCATGATTGTTCGTAGTTAAAGTGATTAATTACCTGCCTGGCACTTAGTTAAGGGGTTTTATTCCCTCCCTAACTTCAGGGGAAAATCCCTACCTGGGGAAACAACCTTTCTCAGAGAGGTGACCTTGGTTAAAACACATAGTGCCAAGAAGGTGAGCAAACATATTAAGAACAGTATGCCATATATGCCAGGTCCCTTGAAACAGCAAAGATGGACCGGCTCCCGGCACTGAAGCATGCAACAGACTGATGTATACCAGACTGAAGGGAGGGGGTAGGAAGAGAATAACCAAAGAACTTATATGCATATATGCATAACCCATGGACATAGACAATAGTGTGGTGAAAGCCTGGGGAGGGGGTGGGAGTAGGCTGGAGGGGGTCAATTAGGATAAAAGGGGACCATCCTATATAATAAAAGCCTAATATGCTAAGTGCCCGACCATTAGTTCGACCAGTCACTATGATACGCACTGACCACCAGGGGGCAGACCCTCCGACGGGTAGGTTAGCTTGCTGCTGGGGTCTGGGTGAGATGGACTGGAGACACCCTGGAGCCTTTCCGTGGTCCCTCTTTGGCCCCGATCGTGCACTGGTGGAGTCCCTCGGCCTGGCCTTATCTCCAGTGATGGCGAACCTATGTCACCTCACAATCTGGGACCCCTCGGGGGATGTTGGAAAGCCAGTTTCTGCCTGATCCCCACAGGCCAGGCCGAGGGGCCCCCCTGGTGTACTAATCCATGCACCGGGCCAGTTTCGGCCCAATCTCTGCAGGCCACCCAAGGGACCCCACCAGTGCACAAATCCATACACCAGGCTTCTAGTCTATAATACTTTCAACAATAAAGATAAAAGTAACTTGGATATTAATAGCATAACTTTATCTAAGACAGAGTTACCCTAGGTTTGTTTTTCTTTAAAATACCAAACTCCCATTAAGACATAGGTGCTGATTTCCTTTATAAAAAGCATCACTGAAGGAGGGAAGTTCCTTTAAATGATGAACTAATATGCTGCATTTAAATTACTTTTGACCTATAAAATCAGTTTATATTTCTTTCAGGAGCATATTTTTATACAAAGCACAATATCTTGATAGGGCCTTTAGGGGAGATAACATCAACCTCATCAGCTTTATGGGTAAAAGAGAAAAGTAAATACCTATTATAACCTTTTTAATATAATAGTTTTGTTGAGATATAATTCATATGCTATACAATTTACCTTTTAAGATGTGCAGTTCAGTGGTTTTTAGTATATTCAAGGAATTGCACAACCATTACTGTAATCAATTGTAGAATATTTCTTCACCGCACAAGGAAACCCCATACCTTTTATCAGTCACCTCCCCCACTTCAACACCCCCTAGGTAACCACTGCTTCAATTTCTGTCACTATAGGTTTGCCTATTCCAAAATTTTCATAGAAATGGAAGTGTATACTATGTGGCCTCTTGTGTCTGGCTTCCTTCACTTAGCATAATGCTTTCAAGGATTATCTATGTAGCATGTCAGTACTTCAGTTTTATTACCAAGTAATATTCATTATATGGATATACATTTTATTTATCCATTTGATAAATCATAGTCTTTTGGGTTGTTTCTACTTTTTGGCTATAATGAATAATGCCAACATGAATAATCATGTACATCTTTTTGTGCAACTATATGTTTTCAGATCTCTTCGGTATATACCTAGGTATAGAATACCTTTGTAATAAAATGTTACTAATTTTTTTTTCAGCATTGTGAAATACAAATGTTTTACACATATCCTGACCCCATC